TAAGAAAGTTGAGAACAAAAGATATAGCATCGGTAAAAATTTTGTGGAGTAATCATGATTCAAAAGAGGCTACGTGGGAGGTCGAGGAAGATATGAGTTGGAAGTATCCATATTTATTTGAGGAAAAAGGTATGTGAACCTAGGTTTGCCTTGGCATTTATATTTTATTTATTAAGTACAAGTTAGCATGTGTATATGTCCTTGCTAGATTACATTTTGTTGTTGAAGTATTTAGTTTCTGTTAGAGTATATTTAGTTATTAAATAATTCAGTACCATGCAAGAGTACATTTAATTCATTAAAGTTATTTATTTATTTATTTTGCTGAAGTGTTGTGGTTTAGATTTTGGTTGGTTATTGTGGTACCTCCTTGCCAGAGTGTGAGTAATTCGTTTATGAGCTGTGTATGGTGCCTATGAATGGCCTGTTATGGTATATTTGGTTGTGGTTGGTGTAGTTGTGGTATTTGTGACAGAGATACTTTTTTTTGTATAGTCCAATTTACAGGGGAGACTCTGCCGAATTTTTTGAAAATTTAGGGAGTTAGCCAAAATTTTGAGTCCCTTGGGAAAGTGAGTAATGCTAAGAAAACTTAAGAAGTTCAAGGACCTAAGGAATGATTTTTAGCTTAAGAATAAGGCCCTAGCAACATTCGAGGACGAATGTTTTTAAAGAGGGAAGATTGTAGCACTCCTCAAATCTATAAAAGTTTCAAGACACGCTAAATATAGAATATAATTTTTATAATCTTAAATAATACTTCTCATGCGGATTTAAACCCTTGTGATTGATATTTGAGTTACTTCTCTATTTGTAAATAATTGGATATACAATTAGGAAAAATATTAATAATTTTAATATTATTAATTATTTAAAGTAGGTATAACTATACACTAGTTAAGTCAAAAGAAAAAAATTAAAAATAAGAAAAGAGAGCACGTGAGGCCTTAGCCCATAAGGCATGTGGAAGGCAAAAGGATTTAAAAAAAAGGTTTATACAAAGAAACAGAGAACAAGCATCTCTTCATGCACGAAATACAGAATTGTGAAACAGAGCCTTGCTGCTCAGTACTCACGCAGGCAACGGGAAGTTCTAAGTTTATTTACAAATCACTAACTCTTGAACTCAGGTATATAAAATTTCCTATTGTCAATTATTCTACAGTGGTAGTAGGTAAGAATTGAATAGTTAATTCCCTTCTTTCTCTGTATCAACAGTAAATCCCAGGTTTAGGTGTGAAACTTCAAAATTAATTAAAATGCACTGGTTGTTGTAGAATCAATTATTTTTGACGGGTATAAATTAGACTGGGTCTATGTATTGGCTCAAGGAGTATTGAGGTGAGTTGATACAACCCTTTACTAAAGTGGCTTAACTCACAAAAGCACGTATACAAGATGTTTGATGAATTGCTTAAAAGAGTTTATATTTACTTAGTTGGAACGAGTGAGTACCTATTAACTTAGAATTATTCTAGCAAAAGTTCAGATGATTTATTATGATATATGTGCATAAATTTCAGAGTTTTGTGTTATTCTTATATGCTATTTTCATGTTGAAAAATTACGAAGAAGCAAGAATCTTTAGAAATACTTTTAGATGTTTATTTCATTCTTATGCCATGCTTTACATTTAAGGATACCGGCATGAGCATGTACATGATGTTCCAAAAAGAAAATATTTAGACTTGAAAAGTCACAAGAAGAAGTTTTAGAAAGAAAAGATTTTTGGGAGTATCCTTTATTCTGAGAAGGGGTCATCGTCCAGGCCGAGGGTCCTGACCAAGGCGTTGACTTCCTGAAACTACTTGTGCCAAATTAGGGAGCACACGAGCCGAGGGTTTCGTTGCCGAGAATTTACTTAGCCATGCTAAGATATGATACATGAGCGCTGAGAACCATGAAGCGAGTGGCACCTCGTGGATTGGGCCTATTCGATCAGGTTGGGATCGAACCCGTGATGATCACACGGTAACTGAGACACAATTAAGTCAGGATAGTTGGAACTCCCAAAGTATGAAGAGAAGTAATTTAAGAAAAAGAAAAGAATTTCTTTTAGAATATTCATAAACTGCTATTATGCAATTATTTTAGAATTGTTCTTAGAGGATTTATGTTTTCTATGCATTTAGATTCTTTGCTCGTAATGTACATTGTATTAAAGTTTCGTCCCCTATCGTTGAGACTCACTGAGTATAATGGATGGTACTGACATTCTCTTTTGGGAACCTACGTTGGTCTGCGGTACAATGTAGGAACCGGTTTTGCAGGCGAGCAGGCTACAGTTTAGGACTTCCCTCCCTTCCAGTGCTATTGGTGAGCTCCGCTTTTGTTCATGGAGTATTCCTTAGAGTTATCTTTATTTAGCTATTTCTTTGTTTACTTAGAGAACTAGCCAGGAAATCTCATGTCCTGAGCAGTGCGTCATTTTGTCAGTAGAGGCTTCATAGACACAGTCGGTGGGTTAAGATTCAGATGTTTTTGGTAATAGCTTAGCAGTATTTCATTGTGTACTACGAATAAAGTTTTGGAGTTGGCTTATTTTAGGTATTTAAATTAATTAAAAGTATTTGGTTATAGTATTGCCTTATTGTACATAAAGTTTGAAGTTATAATAAATTTGATAAGCGCAGATGGTTCGCTCAGTCATGTTTAGTGATCGGGTGCCGATCCCGACTTGTTTAGAAAAATGGATCGTGACAAACTTGGTATCAGAGCCTCGGGTTTATCAAGTCCTAGGGGTCTATGAAGCCGTGTCTAGTAGAGTCTCACTTATGGGTATGTTGTGCACCATACTTATATCTGGGAGGGTGCATGACATATTAGGAAAATTTCCTTTCTTTGAATCTTAGATCGTGCGTTAAAGCCTAAAGTGAAAATTTAGTTCCCATTTCTGTTAATCTCATGAATGATTGGTATACTCGATGTGATTACGGAGTGCAAGGTTTAATACGCGAGTAATAACATCAGTTGCTTGAGGTACAGTTAAGTTAAGGAGATGTCCACTAAACCTCGAAATGAGAACTACATGAAAGACATGCGACCAAGAAGGAGGTTATTGTAACCCTTATATTTTTAGTTAAATGACAAGGGCAAGTTGTAGAGGAATATGAGTTGAGGACATCATCGAA